AGACAGTGTGGTATCGTATGGTTTTAACTTGACTGCGAGAAGTTCCAAGATACTGGGCTTTAAAGCCCACATTCCGATAATCGAGTTACTTGCATTTGCTGGAAAAAAAAAAAAAACCGAGGAGGGGGGGGGGGGGGGAAAGATGTAAGAGCGCGTATTATATATACGTTTTCTTAGTCATACCGACTGTGATTATAGCGGCGTGTATCTGCTCACCTATGTCCGAAAGTGCACGTAGTACGAACGTAACTACAATCTCCACGTCGCTCTTCGCATACTGCAAATCGTTTAACGGATTGTCTGCAACCAAGACGTCTATATCAGGTAGTATAAGTTTATAAGCGATCTCTAAATCCGCCAATATGTAGCGATAAGATTCCTGTAATAATGGAATATTCTTTAGGCTTAGAAGACTGTGATATACGCCCAAACTCGCGTTTTGAATTGTAATGGAATTTCGGAATCTTAATTTCAACAGCATCGAATTCTTGCCAAGTAACGTGTGCACCAATTCCAATGGCAGGTTCGCAGATACCTCCTTTATTATTTTTGATATAATGCTCAACATAGAAATAATGGTATCGTCCCAAAAGATGTTAACCCTTTGTAACTGAAGATCGATAAACTTATAGAGAAGCTCGTGATTCTTTGTTACACGACTCTGAAGATAACCAAGGAGCAAGAAGGCGCATTCGTTCGCAACTACGATCAATTCCTCCTTTTCTTCCGATAAGTTTTCAATTTGCTTGACTCTTGGTTCCGCGATCGATCGCATTACATTCATTAACAATTGCCCTTTCTCCCTGGATAGAACATTTCCCTTGTCAGAAGCTATCTTAAAATTCTTCTTATCATTTTTCTTATTTACAGTCAATGACTTGATCATCTTAATAAGATTTTCCTCAGTAATGTCGTCTTGACTAAAATGTTTGGAAAGTGTCTCGACATGTTCCTGCGACGAACTCACGTTTCTTACATATCTGATCAAGTTTTCCGTATTATTGGATATTTTGAGCCAAATGTCATTCTCTTCTTCCAATTCGATCGCTTTGACAACGGTCTTTAGCATTTTCGATAGACAATTCGTTAGGAAAGACCATTGCACGTTGGGTGCAAGATTTGGATTCAGATGCTCAGCTATGCTCTTCGTTACCGTATTAAAGACTGATATTAACGACGTAATTCGCAGAATGCATTCCCTCGGTGTCGGAGATCCATCATCGCCGGGCGAAGTACGACCGGATTCGGGCAAATTTAATTCTTCGTCGTAGCTTTCCATATCCTCCAAAAATTGCCCTAGTAACGTTAAAGTGAACTGCAGATCCGCAATCCAGAATGAGCGCAACTTTTGCAAACATCGACTCGCGTAAAGGACAACTGACTTTTGTTGCGTGGAATCAATGTGCCAACCAACAAGTATGTCCACGGTATCGCGAAAGTGGTTCGTGAACGTCTCTGGATAAGAATCTATGATGAGTAATATAGCATCCACAGTTGCTACCAATAAGTCTGCTCTGTCAACGTTCTCTAATACTGATTGTAATTGGGACATCATTGGCTGTAATGCAAATATGAAAAATTTATCAGTGTTGTGACAAAAGCAAACGTAAGTTATCGAGATTTTTAATACACATATAGATGTTTCTATTTACCATGGAGAATTCTTTCAATTTCGATATTTCAGAATCCATTTTAAGTGTCTCCATAAGTGACTTCATTAACAGGCATTTCACATCATCTTTATGCTCCAATGAATATTTATTAAAGATCCAGTCCATATATCTAGAAACGTACACGAAGAAAAAAAGAAATTTTGTGATCGTTTTCGTATCACACGCGTTTTAGGAACGTCAGAGGAATAAAGAGATGCAGAATAGATACACATACATTTATAGTGTGCTCGATTATGCACATACCTTTTAAAATCTTGTTCCACCACATATCCAATTCGACCCAAACACTTTGCAACCTGCTGCTTTGCTTCCTGACCAGGACCAGAGTGCAAAAAGTCTAACAGACTTTCACAGATAGTTTCCAAGTTCCGTCGTATGTATCGTTGATTTTCAGGTGCGACGATACTTTCTTGCACTTGCTTGCAAAGTACCATGAGATGATCATAATCATCTTCGCGACATAATCGCCGCAAAAGCTTAGAAATTCTCGAGTCCTCTGAAAACACCAGAGAGATCTCTTTAGAGAACAAAACTCCAGCAGAACAGGCACAAATATTACACGTATAAATGCAATAAATTACCATTTATTCTTTTATCATCATAGTATTTACCCTGCGCGTTCTCATGATTTTTCAACGATTCTTGAAACTTGGATCTAGATGTAGAGTGATAGCTGGACTCTGAGTTTGATTCACGATCATTGAGGATCTTTTTAAAGGCCCTCCCACGTGTTCCACCCCTAGTACCACGATCTGCAGAGCTACCGCCACGCGCCATTCGAAATTCATTTCTTGGAACACTGCTAAGTCTGTTGCAAAGTATTTCTTTTTAATTACCTTAATATTAATTTACTAGAGAAATCATGACAAGAGACAAATTGGAATTAGTAAATTTGGAATAAAGAATACCTTGGCTTAAATCTTGCAAAACCGTAATCGGAAGAGTAGTTGGAGTTTCGCTGACAAATGACCAGGGTGCTGCGTGGTATAAGATCGTTTACACTATAACCACTTATCACACCACCGTCTTCTCTCTCAATTTCTCCTCCGTGATTTATAGACTCGTCTGGAGTCTCAGCACACTTGGAACCACGTAGCCTCGTGCTAGTATTAGAGTTCCCACAGCTATTCATTACATTACTCTACAAGTGGTCTGCATGACCCACACTTAATAAATGTGTAACCTGTGGTTATCTAAAAAAAGATCATTAATTTTGAAATTGCCCATATATAATTATAAATCAAGATAAACATTATAGATTAAAAAGTATAGATTAAAAGTTATTAGTAACGACAAGAATTGTATGTCTTATTTAATTCTTGCATATAATGTATAAGAAGTTTCTTTTCGGTCAAGAATCTTTTTTCTGTATTCATCAACACAGATTAAATACCGATGCAAGAGACAATTATATAAGGTAAAGTACAAAGTGATTCAAAATTTTTAATTATATGTATATGAAGTAAATATGTTAAGTTATCAATACAATTCTAAATATTCTTTCACTTGGGTATTATTTCGGTTTTTGCCTCACAAAATCAAACAAGTATCTCTCAAAATTAAGATTATCTGGGAAGATTTTGTAGCATAGTGAGCAACTTGTGTCATCAATTTCAATTTTTTTTTTCTCGTAGCGATTAAGCATGCAATCCTACAATTGTCTAAAAATCATAAAATCCGTGAAACCACATGGAACGTCGCTAACTCCATGAATGATAGCAAATTAAAAGAACATTAATCGTGTTCTCGATTGTACAGTGTTGACGTATCTTTCGCGCAAACAGCATCTGTTGCTGATAATGTTACCCTCCTTCTCCTCACTGCTGAAACTCTTAGCAGAGCATTTAGGTTTAGTAGATAGGCGCATACGAAAAATCATTTCTCACCGATCTCGGGCAAATCTTGTGTAAATGAACGATCAGCTGTGCAGAATAGGACCAGTAAATTTGTCGCTTCGTATCGTCTTGCAAAGATACAAGTACGAAAATGCAAAATTGAAGGTTATGAGATAGAGGACACATTCAATGTTCGTCCATCGTCAACTTTCTTGGATTTTTATCTCTTCTCTCTCTCTAGCTAGAGCACTCACATATTCACATTCGTGTGTACACCAATCACGCCATCACATACATACATATATTGTTACGTAGTAGATGTACATACGTGTTCCTTCTAGAGAGTTTCGTTTCAGTAAAATTTCATGCTGACGCTCGATGCACATTTAAATCAAAATAAGCCACGTGGTTGAAAATGATCAAATTTTGACCGTTTTGACGAAAAATTGGGGGGTCGAGAGCATGAGAAAATACCTTTACTTTCTCACGTGCGATTACCTTCGTTTTCTTGTCAATGATACTTGATCTGATATTTTGCCTCGTTTTACCGTTGTGATTTCAATGAATTTCAAGTCTATGCATTCCACAAACGAACAAATGGAGTAAACAAAATTGAACGTTAACCAAAAGGATTACATAGGAAGTTTTTTATTTACCAACGTTTTAAATTAGAGATCTATTGAACAGCGCATGCACAGTTCCAAATATATACACTAGGGGTGCGTTCCGAATTAGGTTGGAGTCACATACTTGCCGCGTATTGCGTAACTGCGCAACCAATCAGGAGCAATCCGCTGTTATGGTTTCGCGTTTTACAAAACGAACACAACAACTTTGCGAACATAAATATTTTATAATACATAATTAAATTAATGAGTTTTTATTATATAAATGTTGCATAAATAAGTAAGGATACTTTCAATGTTATAATAACACAGATGTATATTACCGAAAAATTATAATTTTTTCTCTGCTGTTATTATTTCTATTGATAATAATCAAACTCGAATGATAACGTTAAAATTATGTATATTATTTATTTTTATGTGATGAATTATAACCTACATACATGGTAGGGAACAGGAAACTGTATTTTTTCTTTTTTTTTTTTTTTTTTTGGAATCTTTACACAGGTTTGTATAGCTTTCCAAAGCTATTTCTGTTTTTCCTTTTATTTTGAAGGAATTTTTATTCTGTATAAGGAAAACAAAATGGTTAGAGAAATACGAAATGAGCAAAAATAAACATAATATAAAAACTGACAAAAATGATAATTTTCAATTCGATAGATGATTAATATATAAATGTATAAAATTATTATTTACGTTAACAATTTATCTAATTTTATCGATCGTTGATATGATGATTTATTTACTAAAGGATCTTTTTGATTACGTTAAAAAAAATATATCTATATTTTGTATATACACCAAAATAATATATGTAATCTACAAAAGGATATAAAATGATAGCATTTACACATATGTCTCAATTATGCAGTTAAACTTATATATTTTTGAATACATATGACAGAGTAACCCCAAATAAAGGATAATTTTTTTCCGACTTTGTACGCAGTCCAAAATCATATGCTAAAAAGAATATGACTACGCTTCACATTTGAACGCATTACAAAGTATTAATGCTCTGCAGGTGGTCCTGGGTCATTCTCTGGCTGTACTTCAGGTATATGCGGCCAAACTGTAGGTTTATCAGGATTGAAAGCTAATTCCGGATAAGCGTCACGAAAATCTTCCATCGTCATTTCAGAGAATGGCAATAAATTTTTCACTCTATCGATTTCCTTGTTGGCAGTAGTGATGCGTTGATTCGACTCGGCAATAAATTCCTCGATTTTGACATGCTACAATGTACCCTCAATTTAGAACTTGAGTTCTAACAAAATGCAAAGTAAATTTTATAATTATAATGTAAATGCTGTACCATTTCCTTTTCTTCCGTTTCAATCTCAGAGGTATATTTATCCACTGGATATGGTACTTTGACAGATTCGTATTCCTTTTGAAATTTATCAACTAATCCAGATATCGGAATATTCTTCTTATAATACGTCCAATCGATTTTTGGAGGAGCTTCTGGATTCGCGTTCATTCTGTAAATACAGAGAAAGAAATAAAAAAATATATGTATAGCATCATATATTTATTTGTGTATATTCTTCTTACACAATCTTTATAATATTTTCTAATGTCGTGCAAATTGCAACATCAAGAGACATGTTTTTATATTGTAAAAATGTGATTTTTGAATAAAATATTTTTCTAAAAATTTTATAAAAAGCTACATGCACGACTAATATAACATGTCTCAATGTTTTAATAGATATGGAATGGCACACAAAGTTAATGTGAGGTTATACTCCAACAAGGGGGCCAGTGCTTGTGTACACAGATAGTACATTTAATTAATCTCGGCAAGTTAGAGAAAATCTTTCATCTAAAATAATAAATTCTTTTCCGCAGGATGTACATATTGAACTAAAAAAAACATTGAATTATATCGGAGATATATAGAGGTCTACGTGTGTATTATATAACGACTTGTGTGCGACATGAATCGAAGAAGGGGATATTTACTAACCGTCGCAAGTACTGATCAGATTTAGCTTTGAAAGAGGCGAATGCAGTTTTTTCCGTTTCTGGAATTTTTTCGGCAAGTGCCGACCAATTGATCGCCTTGATCGCCCTGCGTGACATCTCGTCCGCGTGTCTCGACGACGTGTGACGACGTGTCTCACCACCTGATCGAGACAGTTGCGTACTGCTCAGTACTGCTTTATACACGCAGGGATACCAACAAAATAGAAATATATCGATCGAGCACATGTAATGACATGTAATCACGAGAGCGATCACGTAATTGCATTTGTGTAGGTCACGGAGTATTAGGAAGAAGGAGTATCGACTCCTTAGCTTTTTCGTTCTAATGTCAGTAAGAGACTGAGAAATCGACGCCCCAGGAGTGGGACAACACGTATGCAAAAAGCAGGAAAAACTTGCCAACGCGATCATCATAATCGTTACTTCGCTCTCGTGATTAATCTCTCCGTCCAATCAATGGCGGTATCACATGAAAACGCTCATAGAGACAAGATTTTTTTTCACGCGTCGAGACTGAGAGCAAAGCAATCAGACAGTGTAAGCGTAGCAAGTTGTATAACGTAATATAACGTCGCGGTTGGCGGTCGTAAAAGCCCGCAAAAGCCAGTAAAAATCGGCGGATGGGATTGGCGGGGGGAGCGCTGCGCGTTGCATCTCGCGTGAGATCGATAAAGTAGAATGGAAGAGAAAGGGAGAGGGCGAGCGTGTACGAGAGTGAGATGACAGGGTGGGTGGAGTGGGCGGCCGTGGCGGTGGTGGCAGGCGGCGGTGAGCATAAAGAGGATAGGATAATATCGGTGCGCGTCCTCTCGGACGCGGCGCGGCGCGGTGGAGGTGTCCTTTACTTCTTTCGCGGAGTTTTCTTTCCGAATTTTCCAAGCTTCGTCGTTACGATGTAGTTGACTAGTTATGCCGAAGAAGGGCACGCGGCATGTGAGGGAGTTGGGGAACACGACGAGTACCCAGCGACAATTGGCGCCTGGTGCGGCGGCGACGACGGCGGCGACGACGACGATCGTCTCGGAAGTGGTGGCAGCGAGGCATTTTCGCAGCGTGCATATCGGTGTGACCAATAGTAAGCGTTGGCTGTTACTGAAAAAACGTCTAGGTCTCACGACGGACGAGGATGTCGCGGTGTACTTGCTGGACCTCGCAGAGTCTAATGCCACCACCACCATTAGCAGCAACACCGCTACTACTAGGTTAACTAGGTACGTTTTCTTGCCCTAACCAGCAGGTTGACGACACCAATGAAAACGCCAATGGACTGCTGCATCGTATTGCCGAGTCACGTCTATCACGTGTCCGACAAAGTCTAGTTCAGGATCAGCTTTTGCTCTCAGTGCTAGACATAGCCTGTCTAGCTCACCTCAACTCACCTAGCTATGCCTAGCTGCCACCACGCGTTTAGCCGCGTTCAATGAGTTTAGTCTCCCGGTGCGGTGCTTTCCCCCCTACTCTCACCGAACGCGTTCCGACGAATCGCCATCTTGCGGGACGATGTACATTGATATACATATAGTCGGTGAGGAGGGTGATGCGAAACGAAATCAATCGATATCCCGTTGCGGAAGGCACCGGTTTCAAAAATCGCGGACAAACAGCATTAAAGGCATTCACTTTTTTCGCGCAGGGAATTAATCATTATGGTTGAAATTTTATTCCTTTCTACACAATAATATTTTTTAGAGAATAAAATGTCCATCATTTTTTGGATAAACAGTACTCTTAATTTCTTATTTGTTCTAATATACTTATGTAGAGTGACCAGATTTACAAAACGAAAAAATGGAACATGAACGACGCGAGTTGGAGAATTGTAAATATGCTTAATCAGTTATATACTTGATATGCTGGGGGTCAATATAAGAGTAAAATGATGGTGCAGCAAATAGTTTTAAATAGTTTATTGTGATATAACAAATAATGTTGATATTATTATTATGTATAATAGACTATAATAGACAAAAACAAACGGTAAAAGATTCTGTTTCAATAATGTTGTAGTTAATAATACGTGCCAAATATGCATATGCGTCTCATTAGAAAGTTGTAATAATGGGACAATTTTGTTAAAAACAGTACGTCTAGTCACCCTAATGTAATAAGATTGACACATTTGTGCAAATAAAATGTATGTTAGAGATATTCAAAGAAACGCAGACTGATACATCTTTTTATGTGCTCTTGCATAGGCAACAGGGTAAATGCAATGGAGCGGAGAACTGGAAGACGAATCAAGAGCGTTGCGGTCAGAATGAGGAAGCGGACAAGACTGAAAGTTCAGATAAAGAAGATGAGAAAGAGGAGGAGCCTGTTTGCACGAGTCCAACAAAACAAGATCCTGGATCAAACAAGATTCGACTCGATGCTTCTGTCTGTACGATAAGCGAGAATGTGTCGGAGGTGCTGGATGATACAATCAAGTTGCACTTACGACGTAGTTCAAGGTCAAAGCACCACAAGAACAAGACGAAGCATCGCAAAGACAAGCGGAAAAAACGGCGACATTCGAAGAACGGCATTCAAGATAGCGATTCTATTGGACTAGACAGATTCGAATGTATTAGTGGTAATGCAGCAGATTTGCGAAACAATTCGGCAGCGAACAGAGATTCGAGTAATCACGAGATTACTGTAATCAGTGAATTAGATCCTAAATTAACATTAGATGTAGGAAGTTTGGAAATCGATACAAAGGACATTAAACCCCTTACGACCAAGACTGATCACGTAGATAGCATTAGAATTCGAAACGATGTAAATATCAATAGTACTACAAGCAACAGCGGCACCAAGTGTGAGGTAGACGTAATCGGTGTACCTGGCGATTCGACGAGGGATACCTTAGAGAATAATGTAATTACTAAGCTGCATTTTGCCGATACAACAACGCCTCTTCCGAAGCATACATACAACACCGAGGATTTGAACAAGGACGTAAAATATTTACTACATCCCAGTGTCAACGAAATAGAACAGAGAATCGAGACACATTCTGCTGATGCACCTGAGAAGGAACACGAGGTCAAGTTGACGCCTTGCGTGGAATCGCACAAAGACGTAACATTCTGCGATACGTCGAAGAACTGCGAAGACGCGGAGAAGGAGCGCAAGGTGAAAAGGAGACGGAAACGTCCGCGTCATGATGTACAAATCCCAGAGAAGGATCTCTTCGAAAATAATGTTTTGGATGAAGCGGCAACGACGACGACGACAACGACGGTGTTTAAACACCGGCGAAAAAAGCACAAGCATACAAACGAGCACAAAAGCAAAAAACATCACGATGTACGAAAGGCGCCGCAAGATGGCATCGTCAAACAGGAGGAGGCACCAAATGCATATCCATCGGAGGCGGTCGAGTTACTATCTTCGACGACGGAAAGATCTGAAAGGAGCGCACAAAATGACAAGGGTGTAGAAAACGGTCAAGACTCATCCGAGGGGGATATCGATAGCACCGACGATGTGGCATCGGCGTCGGCGTCGGAGCCACAAAGACTCGCGATCAAAATCAAGCTTTGCCAGGAATGCAACAGTCGTCATTTGCAGGACGCGTGTCCTTTGACGACGTCACAATATGCGATAGCCGATACCATCTCTTACGAAAAGTGGTTGAGTAGACATAAGGAAAATTCGGAGATAATGAAAGCTATCACCGCGGAGGATCCAATGTCGGAGGGTTATGGTAGATTGGCATACGACGGCTTCGAGTCAGATGACGAATCTCTAACGTCCAACGAACAATGCAAAGCCAAACCGAAGATGCAGAGGGAGGAGAAGCAGTTGGTAGTAGAGATAGATCGACCACTATACGCGAGAGATTCTCTACCGGATTGCCTTGAATTGAAAATCGCAAATACCGATCACGGTCTCGGCATCTACGCCAGGAACCCGGTTCCAATGTATACTAAGTTTGGTCCACTTATCGGCATACCGGTTAGAGAAATGGACATTCCGGATGATTTCTCCATGCGCCATATTTGGGAGGTATCATCATCATTTTGATTATCATTGAAATTTTTAGTCATCTTATATTAGCCAAGACACATTTGTATTGCAAAAGTAATTATTGCGGGAATGAATATTTTTCTTTTTAGATAGATAATAATGGGAAGAGTACGTATATCAGTACTACGGATCCACTGAAAAGCAATTGGATTCGATATGTTAGACCAGCTGAAACGAAAGAGAAGAGAAGCCTTGCGGTGATCTCGAAGCATGGTCAATTATATTTTGTTACAACTCAGAATATCGCATTAGGAATGGAGCTAACTTATTGGGTAGAGCCACAATCTTCCACGTGGACGAGAAAAAATAAAATCAATAAAACGAGTAAGTGTGTATAGATTGTGTCAGACTAATAATCTCTCTCTTCCCCCCCCCCCCCCCCCCCTCTTTCCCTCATAGACTCATGATCGTTTGCATCTCTTTCAGATTGTGGAGGTTGTAATCTTATTTTCGCACATTCAATATATTATCGATTGCATTGCTGCATTTTTCACGACATGAATTATAGTTTAACGATAAGAAAATATCATTGCAAGGTATTTTATACATCTACCGTTATATATATATATATATATGTGTATAATGTTTAAATGACTGCTAAAATATGGACTGCTCTTAAACAGATTATTTTTTAGGTTTGCGGTGCTACAGTGCTTGGCAAGGATAATATTATGAAACACGCAGCAGAGTTGCACGAGGGTCGCGGTGCATACCAATGTCAATATTGTAAAAAGTTCTTTTTAAGGCTGAATTACTTAGAAATGCACCGAACTTACGGATGTTCACAGAATCCGCATCGAGCGCGACCGTTATGCGATTTTTGTGGCCGCAAATTTTGCCAGCCACAAAAATTGAAAGTACACATCAAGAGGATGCACAGTGGTAATGGCGTGTAATTAATTCACAATGCAGTGTATTTTTATTTTTATTTCTCTTGCATTTTACATGCGATATGTTTTTTTTGCAGATATGGCCGAAGTTCTTAGGGAATTTCAATGTAAGTTATGCATGAAACTCTTGGGTTCTCGAGCAGCTCTACAGCGGCATATGAAGGAAGTACATCACAAAGATGTTATTGCTGCGGCCACATGCGATCGATGTGGAAAAATGTTTCAGAATAAAAGCAATTTGAAAATACATATGCTGACTCATAGCGGTGTGAAACCATTTAGGTGAGTTCTTTAATTATTATATTATTTTTCTTATAATGAGAGTGTATTATTTACACCAGTGCTCGGAATTAGTTGAAAATTTCGAGCCGATTTTTTAGGTGACGCCTACTGTTTCCCCCACTACCATTCGAGACTCGGCGGCTGAGTCGCCGATCGCTCATGTGACGCTGTGTCTCAGGAGCGTCGCGATACAGAAAGTATGATGGGAGTACACCTTTCGACATATTAAAATATTGTTTTTTCTACGCGATTTTTATTTTAATAAATGTGGATGTATAATACATATTTAGTAAAATTGTATTAATGATTCAGAAGATTTAATTATGCATATTATTTTTACTTATTATTCTTTCTTTTGGTTTTTCATTGGTTTTTATACAGTGATTTCTCCAATAGGTTTATTTCACTTAAAAAATAACCAAAAAAAAGATCAAATACATAACTCGGCAAAATCAAATTCTATATTTCTATAAAGTATAAAGTAATAAGATATTTTATGTCTTTTTTATAATATAGAATTTAATTTTACACCAAGTCACATATATTTAATCATCTTTTTTGTTATTTTTGAGTGAAACAAATCTACTAAAGAAATTACTTAGAAAAACGCATCAATAACAGTACTTTAACGATAATATGAAAAGCTATTGTCCACATTATCATATTGTGATTATTGCTATATAATTATATTATTGTAGATAATATGTTATAATAAAAGATTTATTTTAATTATTTATAAAAATGAAAAGAGAGAGTAAAGTCTAGGAAGGAAAATATTTTAATAATATTTGCCAAAAGGTATACCTCCCCATTTATACTTTCGTATCACGATGTTCCTGAGGCACAGGCGTCACGTGAGCGCCAAAGTAGTAGTAGGGAAACAGGTAGGCGTCGTCTCAGAAATGTGCAACTAAAATTCGGAGATTTTTCACTGATTCACACGTATGGTCTTTTCTTCTTCTTCACACCAGGTGTAAAGAGAACGGCTGTAAGGCAGCTTTCACTACGAAACAATGCCTACAGTTCCATTATAAGAAGGTGCACGGCCTTACAGAGGCGATGATGCCCAAAATAGAGAGGTCTGTGGCGTACACCTTCGACGCGTACAGCGGTGGCCTCGTTGAGGATGTGCCTTGTGGAAGGATCATTCATTCCAGCAGAAGAAATTCACAAGTGAGCTATCATTGATATAGTTCTATATATAATATTTAACAAAATTTCTTCTTTTATTATGTATTGTATGATAGCAGGACAATAGCAACAGTTTGCCATCTCTGGATGACTGTAGCTCGGAGAGCAGTTTAAAAGTCGAGGCATCGGTACCAGTACCGGCGGCACCGATACTAGCTCCAGCATCAGCACCGACATCAGCACCGCCGATGTCGATATCATCACCGGTATCGTCAATATCAGACTCAACAACCACATCAGCGCCGATATCGATATCGATTTCGGTCTCTGTGTTGGCTTCGGCGCCAACAGCAGCAGCAGTAATGACAAGTTCTACTCACAACGTCATTGTGGATTCGTTACAAAGTGAGACCAATTCTACGGCAAAGTATAAGACGGAGCAACAAGAGCCTCGTGTTCCGGCTACGCAAACTGCATCCTTGTCCAGTGGACTTGCGACAACGTTGGAGAACGAGCAGACAGAAGTTGATCTATATGACACATCGAGGACGTTGAGTAAGGGAAGCAAAAAGTGGCTCACTGAATTCAATCCGCCGCCTACGTCCGACATCGCTGTTCATTTACCGGCTGTGGCCGCGCCACCTTCCGACATTTATGATTTTGAAGATGGTAGAAAGGATGGTAGTAGCGAGAAAGCGGTCTCACGTGCTACAACGTCAAATTTGTTAGACAGCAACAAGTTGCGATTAAACGTATACCGTAGTAGGACGGAAAGTGCGAATGCGAGTTTGCTAGTTGAGGCAGCTCTGGATGCCGCCGAGAGGGACATAGGAACAGTATCCAGTCCGATTTTGGAGGACAATGATCGTGAGACCAATCTCTACTCTATTTCGAGCCAGCTACAGTCACCGATACCGCAGTCGCGATCGCCGAATCATCTAGACTCCTATATCGTACAGCAAGAAGAGGAGCTAATGTCGCCCGCACCAACTCCGGACGACCGGCACACTCCTCCTAGCCACTTACACGTAGATTATCATCTGCATCGACCGATCGACTACATCAATACTTCCCGAACGCACAATATCGAACAGTATTTGCATCACGAGGAGATGCCACGCGTTTCTTCACCGAATTACATACATATGCAGCAAGAAGACTTGGTATCGCCATCAGCTACGCCGAATCACCGCTATCAGGACGTGCATCATCATCAGGTGCCAACGGATAATCTCTCGAGCGATGAGGGTGACTCGGTGGCGCAGAATCTTAGCTTGTCTGTGAAGGAAAAAGCATTGCAGCTGGATCTCTCGACATCCTACAAGTACGACTCGCTCGAACAAGATTTCACCCGAGATAGAGTCAATTTTGAGCCATTAGTGCTTAATAGTGGTGGTGAACTTCAGGGTTTAGACATGTCGGCTCGGGGTTTTCACCCCCACAGTTTTGGCGCCCAGATGCAAAATACTCGCTATCATCATCACCATTTGTACGACATTGGCGAACGACAAAGCGTGGACCTTAGCAGAACGGGCAGTTATTCCATGTCGCCACCCCCACCACCACCACCTTATCCGCATAACGAGGTCGTGCGAGTGGTTAGCTTGGATCTTACTCCTGGTGGTAGACACAGTGTCGATCTAAGTCTTTCTAGATCGCATCATCTGCACGGATCTGGTACTCGTGTCATTACTAGCTCACAACCCGTCGGCTCGACTACGACACACGTAGTACCTGACGTCACCGAAGGTCGAATGTTGTCTCCACCTCCACCTCCCTTGTCAGGATACAATCCTAGTTATCCCGTGAGTCCAGCTCCGTATCATCCTCCGAGATCTGGATATCATCATTATCCCGGTTATTATTGATCGTCAGTGACGGTTTGAATGTCGAGTAATAATTTATAGTCAACATCTTCTCAGCAACTTTTATCGTAGATGTCTTTGACTCCTTTTATAATAACTTTTATTCTAAACGATTTTATTTTCTGATTGTTAATTATTTAACTGTGCATTATTTTTACATCGTAGGCGGGAACTACCATTTTCAAGCATTGTGCATTATAAAGAGTAATGCAAAGTTATGTCTTATTTTCGTGATCAATTTAATACTTAAATCGAGATGATAATGTACATTTTGACACATACGCGCGTGCGCGCGCGATTAAAAGAGTTAGCAAAAGAAAAAAACTTTTTGTGAATATAATAAGGAAATAATAATAAAAAAAACAATCCTTAATATCTTATAACAGATGGTCGTAATATCGTCATTTAATACGATGAAAGTGTACTCGATAGTCTCGGTACATCCACTGAACAGATATTATTTTTTTAAAAAAAGTCAGGTAGCACACGAGAGATTTTACGAAAGAAAAATCTATTCCAGCATGATGGAGTATCGATATAGAGGGGACTTCATTTATCCGTAATTATATAGCTGTTAAATTATTTATCCTGTTTACCCTTTTCCGATAAGCTGTATATGCAGAACATGTATGACGAGTATATCGTTTATAGGATAATCGGTGAAGAAAAAGCGAAGAGAAGAAAAAAAAAAACAAAATTACGTCGTGATCCAATGCCACGTCCGTGATAATTAAGATTTTAAAAAGTTGTTACCTCTCTTAGCTTATATTCTTCTATTTCGGACCATCAAGAAATACTCCGTTTAACGTGGCTTTGATGATAACAAAAGCATCCCGGAGCAGCATTATTTTTGCAAAAATTATGCAATTTTAGAGATTGAAAAAATAAATTAGAATTTTTGTCCACAAAAACAGATTTCAATAATGTCTGCTACGCGAATAATAAAATTGTTTCGAAATGTATAGATATATATCGTTTCTACACACAAATTGTTAAATATGCTCTGTGTATTATATCTGGGATGCTCTGATATTTATAAAATATGTGAAATTATTAAGAAAGATGCCTAATATGGTAGCTAGATAAGTGTATCTCTGCATGGTGATAACGGATGATTGTAACGTTTGTTTTTATTCTAGTCATTACTTATGCATTAGTCATTACTTATGCCGTGGCGAATTAGCTATAAGTTACAAATATTTCCGTAATCGCGAATAATTTGTTCAAATATATGTATTTTATCGTAAATGCAAATTCAAAGTTTGAATTTTGTTTAAAATCTTACGCTTTCTCGTCGAATCTAGCGAGAAAAATTAATGACACACCACACACACACAAACGTATTCCATTATAGAAATAAAACTCAACGTTACATGTTCTATTTTACACGAACTCGATTCAATAGTATGACGTTTTTTCAACTTTAGGTATTATTTACGCTTAAAAAGAACATGCATAGTACATTTCTCAAGAGACGAATGCTTGCGTGTGTGTCGTGTGCGTGCGCGTCATGTGTAGTGTGTATGTACACGCATACATATATCGATATGTTTCACGCAATGTGCGCATAAAGGCGATCTATAATGCTCGCGTGTAGACACATTAATTTTCGTGTCGCTTCCAGGTTTCTGGATTTTACTCTCTCTCTCTCTCTCTCTCTCTAACCATTTATCGAAACCAAAGATCTAAAAATATTGTAACTCTTGTGCCAAATCGAAAGGCGTTTATTGTTATATTGTATACACACAACTTTTAGCAGAACGTAGCGATTAAAGGGAGATAACGCGCGTAATGTTGTCTCTGTCACTTTTGCCATCTTTATTTGATTGTCTACGCTTCACTCGCGCGGATAGTTTTACATGATGACTCTAAGAATAATTTGTTAAACTTTTTTATGTAGGTTTTTTCACGATTTTTCTGCCATTAAAAATAGTTACCATTTCATATTTACTTTAATCATCGATTTTTATTTATATATTAATGTAATTCACGTTTGTGTTTTCATTTTTTTAATGCTTGCTTATTTTGTTATTCTTAACAACTGTAACTATAGCGTTGTAGTTGTTAATAATTACAAAGTATGCTCCTATATCATAATTTGTACATTGTGCATAATGTAAGGACAACAAAAAAACGAGATATATAAATCTGTATTAAGATATAAATATATATATATATATATATATTTGCGTGTACATGACAAAAAGAAAAATTCAAAAGAAATGTTTACGAGTACAAAATGTGGCACAGACTATATTTGTATCAGGTTTATCGATATTAATATTGTAAGTTGATATTAATAGAATGTGGCAATGATTAAAGTAGAGAAATGTATTTTCTTTCATTCTCACAAAAGTATCCTTTTTACAGAAGAGTCCCTACAGAGATAAAAGATAAGGAGCGCATTTTTTTTTTTCTTTGAATTTCGCCTTGCGATTGAACTGATATTCTCTATAATAATGCAACTTAAAATTACTACGTAAATTTAATTAATGTAAATGTACGTATGCGTAAATTTAAAAGTACATACAATTAAGTTTCAATAAAAAATTAATCGTTTTGCGAGACTTGATGAAAAATTACCGCAGAGAATTAGGATTCGTATGGAAGGATGGAAAATTGATGAAATGAAATAAAAAATCGCAATTAGTGTGTATATGCATAATTGTATAATGTAAAGAAGAAAGGTCTGGAGAAAATTAGATATCGTATGTCGCGATATCAATTGCCAGTTAGTGTTTGTCAGATCTAACGGACAGAGCCCAGAGGTCAGTATGGTTTAATTTTTTTCCAGCTGTTTTTAGCGTCTTCCGGCGATGATTGGAGCGGAATAAGCCGAATAAGCCGCCGCCGGCAGAGTGGAATAAGCCGAATAAGCCAATGGTGCTGCAGCCGCTACGTATGGAGTGGCTATGGCATGATTAATGGCGTGTGCGTTGTAACTCGTGGCGTAGGTACCAACCGTCAGAGCTGCGGGTACTGCCGCTGGAATTGCCGGAATCGCTGGAATCACTCCGGCGGAACAGACTGCCACGAGAGCGCCAATAAGAACCTTCAAAAACATAGAAATTTTTAATAAACTCTCTCTCTCTCATTAAGAAACAATTTTAAAATCACGCTTTTAGTATAGAAAATTATATTGAAAAATAATGTGATGTAAATGAGACGATCAAAATATATATATATATATATATATGTTGTATATAATTAAAAAATGTGTATATATATATATTTGAACAAAATATCTTTTGTACATCTATTCAGTGATAAATTTATCAAGAATGAACAAATTAATCGAAAGATTAATTTCTGTCTTTTAGTTTGTTACTATAAAATATGTTATACAGAAGGCATTAAAAGTGTATATGTATTATTTACAGATATTTAATTGTAGCAGAGGAAAGTGCGCGTATTGTGATAATTATTAACTTACAAAGATTTTGGTCATCATTTTTAACTGCTGTGAGTGTGCTGCGTAAATGATTGTCTCACTGCGTTCACTCTGTGATACTTATTCTCGATCACTTCGGTGTCTTTTATACATCGTGCCTCCCCTTACGAGAACAAAGACTCTCTCCCACCGTGATCGACAATTTGTTGTACAACTCGCTCACACGAGGGCACATCCGGAATAATATATGTATATATAAATATATATATATATATACTTGTATATATACACATACTATCTTCGTTTCTGGACTTGAATGCCGCATTTTCATTATTACTCAAGCCTGATGTACGAACATATATTGTCCTACAATGCGAGCTTTATAATTAACTTTCTTTTCTCATACGCGGTATACGCAAATAACAATAATAATAATATATATAATATCTAATCGAATAATTAATTATTTTCTGCTCAAAATAGACACGTAATAATCTCTGTTACAATTGCAATCGCGGCGTTTGAACGTTTATCAAATCCGAATGTTACTCTGAAAAATTTACAAGATTGTATTGTGTTGATATAATTGGGCGAAAAATGTGACGTATCTATAACTTTTAAATTTTATACTTTTGTTTCCTTTTTAAATTGTATAGGAACTTAAATTACTCATTCATTTATTTGTTGCTGTCTATATAAAGTTAATACATTTTAAAGAGGTACACGTACGTTCTTTTGTCGAATGGATTTCTTTTCCGATCGGCGCGCTTCGTTTGTGAAGAGATCAAAGGGATAGAAAAAGCTTGGGATCAACGTTCGCGACTTGTGTCCAGCAATCCAGCTCGAACGGATATGTATATGCAAACGATCAATTTGTTTTTGTAATGTCGTGGCGAATTGATGGCGGCGAGAAAGATCTGCAGAAGCAGGATATATATCTTTCAAGGTTACGAGATTGCGATGTGGTTGGACGAGATTCGAGTTTTGCCGCCTGCACTTATATATATATATATATACTCGCTCAATAAGTAATGAAGGCTTTCGGATATGCACGCATCTTTTTCTTGCCCTATTCGTGCGTCATCACCTGTGTGTACTACACAAGAAACTATACAGTACGACATAGGCTCGAAAATCCAAAGAGATTTGATATCGCTATTCTTATCTAGCCTTATTTCACATATGCTAGTAATTTATACAGACGTGATTTTGATTGATTCGATCATTCTCAGCGACAATCGCTTTCATTTCAGCATCTGTCCGATATTGGTCATGTGCGTTTTTCGAGTAGTACGTATGTAGGTAATACTTTCCTCGGGTATGTACGTGCGCCTACTTGCTCAAGAAGCTACGACACGTTACGTAAATCGCCGTGTATCTAGATTATCGATGCGTAACCCAGAGAATGTCACGCTAAAATCGCGACCAGATTCACGATTGACTTTGGGCGCGAAACAAGAATATTTCGAGAATCATCGTATATATAATAATCCATCGATCAAATCTCAACTAATTTTTAATATATAAATGTTGCGGCATTCGAAATTAATCAGATTGATGCTTATTGAAAGATAATGCTTGATTAGAATGATATATACAGTATAAGTAAATTGTATACAAGTACATACGACGTAGAGAAGAGACTGTAAAGTACGAGTATAAATGTTGACAAATTTTTGCATTGTTCAAGCTTGGTTCAAAATTGGTTCGTTTTCTTTAAGTGCATAAGGCGACGCGACGTGGCGACAAAAAAAAGATATATATATATATCTTATCTTTTTTATAATCAAAAATCTTTTATGACAGCACTAATCGAGCGATGCGATGCGATGGGCTGCACAAGTTGCACTTTCCTCGATATATCCGAGATATATCTGCCCAATCAAAATTACATAAACGCGACTGGTGCGGAATGGATCGTTATGTAATCCTCCCTGCCATATAGGTACGTGGTCGAATACGATGTGTGGCAAGGTTGCACGACAGGGAAAATGATTACGTGGAACGCATCCAGATTGACTTACGGCTGCGTTGGCTGACAATTAGCGAACAGATCTATTCGTATGTGTTCGATCAAATTAGCACAAAAATTAGTGGACCATCGTAAATTCTTGAATTCGTACCTACATACATGTTCCGTTCCATCGATCTATAAATCTCGATTACTATACAATATTATTTTACTTTCGCAAATAGTCCTCACAAGACCCATATATACGTCTTCATCAGATGTTAAGCTATCAAAATATAATCTCAAGATGTGATCGAAATTTCAAGAAATTACGGAAGAAATCGTATAAATGCGCTGTTTTTAGAAAGGCAACAATGCTATAGGAATAACGTTGCCGTTTAACTGTTTCGCTAGCCATTAATCGCGAAGGTCGTTGAAATGTTGCGAATCAATGACGAAAACATTTTGACGTTGAAAGGAAAGCCACTTGAGGATGCTCGTCGTGCTCGTAAGAGAGAGAGAGAGAGAGAGAGTTGTGCTAAGAGGCTCGGTCCGAGACGCGATGCTCATTGCTCGTTAACCAGGAGGTAGAGGAACCGTTGGCCTTGACGATGTGTCAGTTGGGGGTCGAACAAAGCACTATAAAGGCTTTTGCTTTTTCGATCGGAAAGCAGAACCCTTTCTTTCATCGCTTCGAGTATAGCAGTCTCGATCTATTAAATCGTTCAACATGTTCAAGCTGGTGAGTTTCGAAGATTGTAACGCTCTATTCTAATAAGCGTTTTATATAATTGCGTTCATTTTATTATTATTATTATTATTTTACATTCTTTGCAAGCACGTATAATATAAGTACGTGCTCATGTAAAACTTGGAAGCACTATTGTTTTCTAATTCTTTGCAAAATACTGATTTTATTTATCTGAATATCTTAGAAATATTTTTTATAAAATGTAATAAAAGATGTGTGTGTGTAACAATGCTCGTGTTATTGACAAATACGTTTGTCGGCATTAATGCGTTTTTTTCTGCATTTCAATCTTATTTTTTTTCTGTTTTGCACTACATCGTATCACGAGATTATAATGGGAATTAATTGGTTTTTTTAGTGCCTTCTCTCCGTTCTCCTAACTATCGTTTATGCTGCCCCTGCACCTGCGCCAGGAGCGGTTTTAGCAGCACCTGCGGCAATTGCAGCGGCAATTCCAGCGCCCATCGTGACAGCCAGTAGCAGCCAAGTGGTAGCTAGAAATTACAACACGCTCGCCGCAGCTCCACTCGCCGCAGCTCCCGCGATAGCAGCGGCAGCTCCACTGGCTCCGATCGCCTACGCCGCGTCGCCTCTAGCAGCTTACAGCACTCACGCCATTGCACCTGCAGCTGCATACGCAGGATATGCTGCCTATTCCGCACCAGTTCTACTCTAATCCTGCATTGCGAACCAACCTCGATGCTTGTTTGGATCTCTACCGCAAATTTTTATGGCAAAAACGATCGATTGACAATTCAAATGTTACCTCGTGATTATATGTCAAGTATTTGTAATACTTTCAATAAATCCAATTTTTCCCTCTAAATTTTTATCGTATTCTTTATTTATAATCCATATGTGTGTGTGTGTGTGTGTGTGTGTGTGTGTGTGTGTATTATTAAAATTTATATACATCTTTCTGGAAAGATTTTCCCTTTTTTCTCCATGATCTACAGATAAAGCTTTCTTCATCTGTAAGAAACCATATTAATTAATTTATTTGAAATATTGTAAAATATTTAACGATATTATTAATTTTAGCTATCTGCACATATAGGTACATGTAATAAATTATTATTATTAGATATCAAATAATAATATACTCGTATATGTACAAGCATATTGAGAATTTATGGAGATTATTTAATATTTTCTAGTAAACATATACACACATCTTATCTGTCAAGTTCTCCGATTTTACGATCCTTTTGATTTAGAGTAAAGCAAAAAAAAGTAATCACTCATACCTATACATATGTATATTATACAAATTTAATTCGCTTAACACAGGATCCAGTGTCTCAAGCGGTTTATGTCACGACGTAATCAAGGAAATAAAAGCAAACATGAAAGAGAGGTGGAGAGCAAAACTCGTTCGAGATCGTCGACGTCGCGTGGCCTCTGCTAGTATAATTTTCTCAATACGGTCAGTCCTGTTTTGGTTTCCAGTTCCCCTCTTTCCCGCTTAGTCAACCGGATCTCATCAGCCAACGGAGAGAACTTCAAGGCGATGCCCGCATATTTTTTCTCAAGTTCAAGTTCATCGAGTCTACCCGCGTGCAGCGAAACGCCACCTTAATCGGCCGTACATGCTCGTCTACTCGAAATTATATAGACCGACCAATGTTTCTCTCTTGAGATATGATGATGAATAATCTGTTAAATCTCTCTCTCTCTCTCTCTCTTCCTTTTATGTTGCTTTCGCGCGATTAGTCTTATTAATAAATCCTGCTAACTACATATACATATAAAAATAAGTACATCGAGAGAAAATATAAAAAAAATAAATATTAATTTTTTTATTCTCTAACTATAGATATTTTTTATCATCTTTAATTAAACCTTTTAAATACAATTGATGATTGCGCTCTTTATATATAAATAATCCGATATGATAACGTCAAAGGCAGCACTGTAAAAAACACAATACACAATAAGATACTTTATTATACATATTATATTTTTACATATATATATATATATATATTTGCATAATCTTTTGTGCATAATAATCCGTATAATACAATTATGAGGATTTATTTTTCGCTTTCTTCGATTCATCGTTTCTCGGATATGCACATATAGAAAACTATATGTATTAAGACGTACAAAAAAGCGCCAAGCATTATTTGACTTTTATCAATGAAACATTTTCGTATGCAAAGTGCAGCTAGATTTACGCGTGTTTGTAATATGTTACCTATATTAATTGTTATTTTTTGTTAAATGTTCGATATTTAATATCATTATACAAGCTCTAAAAAAATGAGCAAAGTAAAAGAAGTTGTAATAGAGAAATAGACGAAACATTTTATTTTGCAAAATTATAGAATAAACTAGAGAAAGATACATTTAAAAGATTAATAGAAATAAATATTATCTATACGTAAAACTAATAAAAGACACTTAATTCTCTCTAAAGGAAATTGAAATATATGAAATGAGCGATAATCTCCTTTTGCTCCTTACGACAATTTTATACGAAGATAAAATGAGTCGATAAAACTCTTATCGAAAGTCAATCGACACCTACTCGTGACATTAAAAGCTAGACCAAGGGTAAACGGTCGTCTCGGTTCTCCTTCGACTTTCACCAAAATGAATGTAATTGTCGCAATGTATAGTTCAATTGAACAATATGTGTCTTTTTATATGTGTATCTATGCATCGACAATACGGGCTGATCGGCAAGAGATCGAAAAATAAATAACAATATAAGTGATTAAAATCCATTAGATGTTACATGTAATTGGCGAGAATAGTTGTAAGAGATGGATATACTATATAATATCACATATAGTTTATTTGTCAGAAGCAATTTATTACTCTATATACATAGAAATTGTACACAATTATTAAATTCGCAATTGAAAATAGCATACACAGATGAATATCTCTTCTGAAAACAAAGATTAAAAGTTATATGCGTATGACGATACGCATATAATAAATATTTCAATCTGTGTCGCTGTTAAGAAAAAATTAATTAAAATTAGATAAATAAAATTAACTTTTCCGAGTAAAAGTAATACATTTTTTATGAAATTATGTACTCTATTTTTTTCACATATAATCAAGTGCATCTCCACCTAACTATATATTATATGTGTATTTGACATTCTCTTCCTTACTATATTCTTATAAATAAAAATATGAATACGATATTTTCGGAGTCTCTTGTAAAAATTTAATGACGTCATAAATGAGTTGACGTGATTGTTACAAAAGAATGATCCCCTTTATCGAACTTGTGAAATCTTTCGATGGGGTGTGTTTACTTAAAATATATTTATTGAAAGAAAGGAAGAAGGAGAGGAGAAGGGAAGAGAGAGAGAGAGAGAGAGAGAGAGAGAGAGAGAGAGAGAGAAACTCTCTCTTTTTTAAGAGATTAACTCTTAGTAAATTTGAAGTTTAAGCGAATGTGTTCGGGGAACGGCGCGGCGCTTGCAAAAGGTTCAAATCAAGTGAGGCTGCTTCTTTGAAGCGATCAAATCGACATGTAGGCGTGAGTGTACGTGAAATGCTCTTCTACGAGTCCTATACAACCTCAAGTCGCAAAATAATTTTTAAATCTGGAAATACCGATAAATAGGCAATATCGCGGATAATATCTGCAATTAAAAATGTTCGATAAGAATAAATATGTAAATACATAAAAGTAAAATAACGATTATCTTATTGTTAATAACATTGAAACAAGCTATAATACGTGATGATTTAGACATGCCGATTAATATATATATTACTGTTACTTGAGAAATATTTTTTACGAGTTGCAAACCTAAGCAAATTTATTGGTATGCAATAAAACGTTACGTGAAGCTTGATTTGTAATCGTAAGATTCGAAACTTCGTGCGTAATACTTAGTTGTCACAATTATAATACACTATAGCAAAGTCCCTTTAAATCTGTTACCCATATGATAAACAATTAGTAAAATATTTTATTAATTAAATAAGATTATATAAATATTTTAATCATACAATCCGTAACTCTTTTATTAGATTAATAGATTTCGATCATTTTTTGCAATGCAAATTAAATAATTAAACGGTCTAAATCGAGCTAAATGGATTTAATAATAACAACTTTTATGTGAGATTTCTATTAGTAGAGAGAGAGAATGCAATATCATAAAATTGAATATATTGTATAGATTTATTGATAAAGTATATATGATATATATAATATATAGAAAATTTTATTATAAATTTAAAACAATTAAGAAACAGGGCTACGAGCCAAAAATTCGTTAGAATATTAACTAACCGTAAATAAAGAACTTCATTTGTGTTAAAATATTAAGTTTAATAAAAATTAAAGACAACAATTAAAAACAAACGTTTCGACCTCTGTTAGTTTTTAAAACGTTTGTTTTCATTTTTGTCTTTAATTTTTATTAAACTTAATATATTTTAACACAAATAAAGTTCTTTATTTACTGTTAGTTAATATTCTAACGAATTTTTGGCTCGTGTAGCCCTGTTTCTTAATTGTTTTAAATTTATTGAGCCTTATTACAAATTTATATTATAAATTTATTCGAATAAAAAATTGATATTACCTGATAATCACTTATCGTAGATGAGTCAGGTAGGGGTTTTTGCGACATATAACAGGTTACAGGTTTGTCAGTCGAGAAGCTCTTGTAGCGTATTATACTCCCGTTGTTGGCATCCGAGACAGAAAAGGAGAGTAGTCTGACCACGCCTGGCCGTCATGGGGGACCTTGAAGAATCATCACCCTACCCCATTTTAATGTATGTTCGCGCAACAAAGCTCCATTGGTTGTCGACATCCGCGACTGAAGGAAGAAACGGAAAAAGAAAAAATCGCGGCCTAGCGTACGTTCGTTTTCTGCTTGAGACAAGGCGACGCCCTCTTCGAAGGTGCGTTAAGAAAACGCAAAAGAGAGAAGAGAGGTGGAGGCCGAGGGATCGCTTGCTCCTATATAAGAGGAGATACGTCGTATTTTGGAATATTATCGTACTGACTGCAAGCCAGACATATACGAGCTCCAAGATGTTCAAACTGGTAAGTCAATTAAGAGAGATTTCAGCGTCGAGATTTATACACGATTAATATCCCCGTTTGCGATGTCTGTTTCTCTATATGGAGAAGATCGTTTTTCTCGCATATAATCTCAGTTATACATACACACGGTGAATCAACGGTGTTTAGTTGCTAGTCTTATAATATCTAATTACATCTAGTGTCCTTAAGATTAATAATAAGTAAGAGTCCGCATTGCCTTATTCTTAATTGTCTTGATGAAAAATGGCGGAACCAATTATAGATAATGATGTGAAAAGCATCAGAGATATGTGAAACGCGTTAGTTTGCACGTACTCGTATATTTGTTAATTTTTATCGTGGATTATTATAGAAAGAGAGAGACTTACTGCACCTACTTCTTAGAAAAATTATTTTTTATTCACATCATACTTTTCGATTCATCGCTGGTAAATTTTTCGATAGAAAATTCGATTTACTGCACAAATTTAGAATTCATATCATTTTTAAATCTTAATACGAATAATTTTTATTTCAAACATTCGCAACGAGAAAAAATTCTAACAGATCACGTCGAGGAACATTTTCAGTTGTTTATATAAATGCCTGGAGAAAAACGAATAAATTTACGAATTTTAACACAATATAAGATATAAAAGCTCTTATAAAAGTTGAGTAAGATATATCTCATTCTATTGAGATAGCAATCTGAGGATTGCTTTCATTTCCTATGAGAGAGAGTCGATTGACGTAGGTACCGTCTGTAATAGGGTACACACCAATATTGTTATACTTGGCCATTATTATTATACCCATTCATACAGAGTCGTATTAGCAGTATTTACCTGCACTTGCAATATCGTAATTTGTTATTACGTTAAATGTCATTGTTACAGTTGTGCTTGTTCGCCTTTTTGGCATTCGCCGCTGCTGCACCCGCACCCGCGCCCGCACCAGCACCTGGCGCGATCATCGGCGCTCCGCTTGTGACATCCTACAGTGCTCCGATCGTTTCCGCACCGTTAGCTTACAGCGCATACAGCCTACCGACTTATAGCGCGTACTCGGCATACCCGGCCTTACCGTACGCGTATAAGAATTATGCGACTGGCCTAATCGTCTAAACACCGGAGGACCGCGCCAGGCATTCAGGAGGCATTAAGGACCAATTTCCATTGACACACTTCATAAATCGATCAATGACGCCTACGAAATCTTTTCCAAAAATCAACCACGGATTATTCTCCGCGGTTTATTCTCTTCATCCCTTTCTCGTTCGTTTGAATAACTCCGCATTTACATTCCATTAGATTCAGAATCAATAAAGCCGCTTAAAAGCAATTGTACGAATGTTTTTACTCCATCACATCCCATCTCTACGATTATAACTTATTGTGTTACGTAAGTACTAGATGAAATGAGAAAGATTGTTTTACGTTCACAAGTCGAAATTTACTTTGGACTCGAAATAGAAATTTATTTATACATATATGTATACACAATTAAAGAATCTTTGAATCTATATATTATTTCTATACAATAGATAACACATCACTCGCAATATAAGTCCCGGGCCTGATATATAATAGATGGCGCACTAATAACAAATCCATATGATTTTTAGAAAGTACTAAACCTTCAAACATACGTGTCAAAATTTTAGCTCAATCGGACTTTTACTTAACAAAAGTTACAGTGATTTAAGTGACGCTACTTTTGCATTTTTCAAAACAATGGAAAAATCTGAATTCGTGTGTTGATAAAGTGCATTGCTTCCCGATGGGAAAAAATACCATTCAAGCAAAGCAATGGCAATGATAAGTGTTATTCGGACTCTGCTCCGTCGGAAACAACAATTAAAAGGTGGTATATATATATGCTGACTTTAAATGCGGTCGTAAAAACACAAAAATGATGCTGAACGCTCTGGTCGCTCAAATTCGACAAAAGTAGCGTGTCACTTAAACCACTGTAACTTGTAAAGTAAAGGTCCGATTGAGCTAAAATTTTGACACGTATATTTGAAGGTTTAGTACTTTCTAAAAATCATATGGATTTGTTATTAGTGCGCCATCTATTATGTCTGGGACTTATTGAGTGATATATGTATATCTGTACTACGTAGACTATCTCAGAAACATCAAAATTATCCCAAGAATATCCTTTTTTGAAAAATTCTCTGACTAAAATAAAATATTTTTAATTTTTAAGACGTAATATCTATTCAAAAATTACATGATTTACTCTTTTATTTAATCATACGCGTATAAAGGCTATATAAATTTTGAAAAGTATACCTATAATGCCGTGAATTGACGCGATGTTTTTAAACCTATATGTACATACAATGCATACATATATCTCGAAGGAATCATCGATGACGTGCAAACGAATACATCGTTGCAGACACGTTAAATGTATATATCAATGTGTTATTTTGAGAAATCCTTTTGTGCCTCCTAGTGTGGGATGTTGGATTATAGATTCGAATATTGAGATGAGATAATGTCGAGTTGTCTCGCGTGTAATTTGCATAAAAAGAGACATAAATGTGCGGTAATAAGTTAATAATAAATTGGGTTGAAAATTTTATTCTATATTTAAAAAGATGTAATTAAAATGTGTACAATAATTAATAAATTTGCAAATAAGAATGATAACATATGTATAACATTGAAAGTAAAACATAAAAACTTTAATAATTTGTTTTTCTCATCTGATTTAATTTAAATGCACCTATAAAATTATACAATAATTTATATATTACAAGATTTTTACACGTAATAATATGTAATTAAATCATATGTAACATCATTTATATATTTGGCGAGTACTAGGTACATAATAGCGTATAATAACGTATATTACAATTATATTTTTTATGTAAAGGCCGACACTCCTCAAGATAATCTCGCGTATATGTACCATATATACATGTGTATGCGTGCAGGTTCTTTGCAATCACTCTTTTTGGCATCGATCGAAAAACACATATTATTGCTCTCTCTCTCGCGTTGAAAATAAAATCTCCCGGAGCACAATTATCGCATCGAAATTTTAAATTAATTGTATATATAAGTAAGAGTAATTAACACACTAATGTAAAGTAAGAAAATTAAATTAGCTGCTACAAAATAGATTTTAACAGTAGTATTATTATATTTGGAGATAATTCTGTAATAACGTATATATTATACAAATCTTTGTATTGTTCGATTTTGCATAAATTAATCAATTTAGAGAAAACGTATTAATGAAAAACGAGATTAGGCGATATTATAATTCTTCGCGATTATTACAACTATCGTGAAACAAAGTCATCCCTAGCACGATATACACCTGTCCTTACTCGTTAGTGGTAATCCGTTGCAAAAAGGCTGTTACGTGTCATGTTATTATGTTATAAACCTGATTACATAAGAATCAGGCGTAGGAGTAGTACAATTCGAATAATCACTTCATTCATATTGTTCAACGAGCGTTCTTCAACAGGACCAACTGGCATGTGCAACGCACAATGTTAATTAGGGATCGCTAAAAAATTGTGCGTTTTAGATGCCCCATGCCGATTCTTCACTCTTCTTGAAGAATTTATTTTAAAAAGCTTCAAGTTTTTCAGAAATAATGCTTTGACTCTAAAGTAAAAGTGGATAGAATTCGTAAGTTGACAAAAAATAAAACTATTTCAACCTTATCCCACATGGCAGCTGTAAAACAGTCACCCCTTACACGATACTATACACATGTGTTCTTATAACTTTGGTAATTTTAAACGATAAGGTTTTTGTGTTTTTTAAATATGGTTATAGTTTATAATGATAATATATATCCATATGTAAATTATAGTAACTTTTCGCTTAGATATTCGTAACTCTTCCATTTTTCCCTCAGCCTATAATAATACGTCAAAATCATCAAAACTTTGTATAATGATATTTACCTTAAATGGCATTCTATGATTACGTGTTATAGTACGGCACTAACGTATGTACATTATTGTACATCGAACTATACACTAGTTAATAAAAATGAAATAAAAGATTATGTGCGTGCGTGCGTGCGTGCGTGCGTGTGTAAGATTACTATTCTATAATTATTATTATACTGTAATAATATAATATCGTTCACGTTTCTCCGTATTTACAATTCCTCTACCCTTCCCTATATGTATAAATGGAAAGTTTAGATATGTCGCACATAATTTATTACTATACATTATAAATTTAAGCTATTCTTTTTCTAAATGTTATTACACGTATGTTGCTTGTTATTTTGTTAACGTAAAAAAAGAAATCATTCGTTTATGCCAAGTTGAAACATCTGAGACTTTTGTTACGTATTAATGTTTATATGATATGTAATACTAAAATCGATCGGCACGCGCATCGGCAGGGAGATGTGATGCAGCATTACGTAACAAAGCGGAATGTTTTAATAACCAACTTTTATAATAAAGCAACGACCCAAGTATCCAATTAATGATAAAGTGTGTTTCGTTATTGCGACTTGGCAGAAGAAAAATTTGATGGCAACTGACAAAACCCTATTAACGAGAATTTACACGCAAATATAAAAATTTTTCGTTTTTGTCAAAAGTACAATTTATGCTATTACACGATAGTATAAATTGTTTGAAAATAGACCACAATGCAATAAATTACATATATTTATCAGTTATATACATATTACATATATTAATCATTTTTATATGTAGAATATATATATGTACAAATATGATGGATTCTATTATATTTTCGTTTTGTTACGTGTTCTTGTTTTAATTAATCCAAAGTATACTACGCATAATTGTGTAAGTAACACTGCATGCTATTCTTGGAACATAAACACTCTTTATGTAATTTCACGTCATTGCTATTGAGAGATTTCAAATCAAGATTTGAGTCGTAACAATAGGTATCTATATTACGTTATCACACTATTACATCAGTAAAACATAACAGCCACAAGATAAATATGGCTGTTCGTTATTCATAAAATATATTTTATTGTAACAAAATTATAAAAGACAGTGACTTTCTGTAACAATTATAAGTAATAATTATAATTCTGTTATAATTATAAGTAAAAAGTAACCAAAAAAGGAGTCGGTAAGCCAAACTTAAGGTTCTAAAAGTGCAAATATCTATTTAATAAATATACATGCATGTAAAACAATAGACGTTACAACTTTAAATTGGGTCACTTTTAGTATTGTTATTAAAATGACAATTTAAAATGAAAACATTTGTTAACATATTCTAACAATATTGAAGATAAATCAGTCGCGTGTCATAAATTACATTAACACATAAAGTTACAATAGATTTTGTAACTTTGCTCTTCAAGTTGAAATTATTTTTAATCAACTCCTCTTACACACACACACACACACACACACACACACACAGCATCATATAAGAGACAGTTGTTTTTTCCAGAGTAGACAGATTGTTGAATTTTAAGATTAATGTTTAATTACTGCGCATGAAAACTATAATTATACTGTTCATAATTAATGACAAAAAAAAACAAAAACATCAATCAGGAGAGTGTTTCACTAAGCAATAGCGCACAACGACATACATATAGGTACATATTTTACTTATACTTTACGAGTTTACGCGAATTGCGGGGAACCGAGATTATAGTTACATATACAGGGTGAGACATTTAAAACAGATCACCTGCGTAACTCGCTTGTTTTTAACAATAGAAGGAAAAGTATCAAACAAAAGTTGCTTGGTTTCGAGGGGTACATAATGTGATATCATTAATTATTTTGTAGGTGGAGACGTAAAGGATAAACAAAGGTCAAATTTTTGTTTTAAATGGAATGATATATTTTTTTACTTAAATTTTGATAGAGTATTTTAAGATAAATGCAGTAATTTATAATTGAAGGTCATTCAAGGTTACCCAAAGTCAATAATAGAAAATAATTGAATGGAAAATAAATTGTTTCAATGCACTCTGCGAATAATTTCGTGTCTTCTTTGCTTGTTGGTATATTGCAATACCGCTAATTGTTCAAGTGTATCACGGTATGTAAATAAACATTGAATCGTACATAGTATTATCCATATTTACTGTTCAGTTTGAATTTATTTATCGATGGAAGTGCGTGTCTTGCAAAATGAGAAAGCGGAAAAAGTCGATATAATTTTCATCTATGATGATCTATATATTTCGCAAGATCTCCATCAGAATGTAAGTAAAGAAATATATCATTCTATTTAAAAACAGATTTGTGATCTTTGCCGATCTTTTACTTCTCCACTTATAAAACAAATTATTGAGTCCCTCGAAACCAAGCAATTTTTATTTGATACTTTTCCTTCTATTGTTAAAAACAAGCGAATTATTCAAGTTTATTTTAAATACCTCACCCTGTATATGGATCTCAAAAACTGTTGAACCGATCAAATTCTATGTACGCTCAATCAATAGCTTCTCAATCGATAGCTGGGATTGTATAATAAAAATTATCTTCTCTTTGATTTGTCATCTAGTGATTAATTAATTAATTAATTAATATAATAATAAGGAAGGCAATTGAAGTTAATCGCTACTTTTGTGGAGAAACAGCAACAGAACAGCTTATAAAAAAGAAAGTGACAGAGTCGAGCTTTGTGCCGTAAGTCGTAAAGACTATTTACACATTTGCAACTGGCATTGTTATGCAGCATTGCGTAATCAGTCGAGTTTTTGTCCTATGCTCAGTTATGTAACTTATCGACAATAATACTGGTCTTTGTTACGTGAGTGCCAGCAGACGTCATCATCAAGCACAATCACATATTATGCCGGATAGTAGACATGCGAGAAGATGACTCGCATTTGTACTGCAATTTACATGCACACACAATTGACAGGACATCGTTCTATCGGTTACTTAACTTCTTTTTTGCACAAATGGAAAAAAATAGTATTATTATATGAAACGTTAATTCACGTGACAAGTCTATTTAATTCTCTATAATAAGATTTTAAAATATATTTTTTTATTTAATTGTTATTAGCATTATGTGAAATTAAATTTTGAAATAACATTTATAAATATATATTCGTAATAATTTTATTCCAATGATATGTATGAACATACAGAGTGAATACGTATTATATCATTCTATACATTTATCACTGTATTGGGATACATTTAATTGATGTACTTAATATATACATATATATTCTTCTTCTTATTTATAACTTTGTATCGCGACACGTAATCAAACGTTAAGGATATATCGCATTTGAAGAAATAACAAGTTTACCAAAGAATTAGAATCTATAAATTGCAGTCACGTTGCATTTACATAAAGTACAACTTTCAGAGGTATAACTTTGTGACAATCATTTTTCTTAGATTTATTATTAGATCAAATATGAAAATGTCAGGGAATGGAAAGTTACTTTTTAAAAATAACTAGTTACAGTTACTCGTTACCGAGTAAAAAATGTAACTAGTTACAGTTACAGTTATCGCTTTTTAAAAGTAACTCGTTACAGTTACCGTTACTTGAAAAATAACTTTTCGTTACTTTTCCGTTACTTTTTTAAAATCAATTTAAAAATGTACTTTTGCATTTTTTTTT